GACCCCGGGGCCGGCTGGCTGCTCGCCTCACTGTCAAAGCCAAAAGGCAGAAGCCGCCTGCCTGCGAACCCATCTGGGGCCCATCAGGAACACAAGTATGGAACACACACACAAGCATGAATGAGACACACACACACACACACACACACACACACACACACACAGACACACAACACACACACACACACACACACACACACACACACACACACACACACACCACACACACACACACACACACACTGTAGAGTGGAAGCGCCCCATTGGCCCAGGAGGAAAGGGAAGGCCGGCTGTGTCTGCAGGTTGTGCTTTTAGATTTTGATTCTCCTAATTTGATGGTTATGTCGGGTGATAAATGAACTGGTTTTGAATAATTGTTAAGACATAATGTGTTCTTACGGGAATTTATGAATGATTTAAAAATATTTGCAATGCACCAGTTGAGTTGCCTTTTCCTCTAAAATAAATGTAATGCAATATGATTTGAAATATCAGCGGGAATCATACATTTTGATTTGCATATTTGCCTCTTTGATTAAAGAATGATAAAATAATTGTAAAGATTTGTGGTCATTTCTGAACCAAGCCGCCATGAATTGAGGCTTCATTGTGAGGTAAAAGTATGAAAAACGAACCATCTTCCATTAAAAAGTGAGAACAAGATCTCCCGTCTATAGCTCTATTATATACTTTTTGATAAAAGAGGCACACGTTCACGCTATGATTCTATGTAACTTTGTGGTTCCCTTTGAAAAGCCAGTTACATTATAAATGGATCTGTATGAAGGAGTCCACACCGCCTCAAAATAACAGAGAGTGTGGGATTTCTGAAGCAGCTGTTTGCTAAGGTGACGCCGCAAGGCAACACAAAACAAAACCAGAATGAAACATGCTATTAAAGGCTCCATCCCAGGAATCTGGGCACCGCTGAATACGAGGAAAAGCAAGTCTTTTCTGCCATTGTTGTCGTGCTGTCAGGGAGGGATTTGATATCCCTGCTGTGCGTGACAGTTTGCCGTACAGGTCCTGGTAGCAACTGACACGTGTTTATGTAATCCTCCACAGATGAAGAGTTCCCCATTCAGGCAACATGCAGCTCACTGTGCCATTCATTAGGACACTGGAAATACAAAGGGCAGAGCAATATCCTTCACTATGTAATGAGTCAACAATATCAAGCTACACCTCTAATTTCATTTGTGATTTTTATTTGAAATACTTTTATAACTGGGCCATTCATTGCCCAATAATATATATCAGCTGCTATTGCCATTATATCAGCCTTTGACACTTCTCTGAGGTGAGCAGTTTAACCCCTATCTGATAGCCACATTAACATCAACCTACTGACACGGCCCTGTCATCCTGTGATGTCACACCCTTTAAACAAAGTGTGCTCTACTGCTCGTTAGCTTTAGCAGCTGAGGGCAGGAAGTTATAGGGCTGCATAGTAAATCCATTGCTGTTTATATAACCAGCATTGGTCTTTTCTAAGCACCCAGGGAAACATTAGGCTCTGTTGCTGCGTAACGTGGCTACGAGTAGAGATTCTGGCGACTGCGCGCTGGAATTTATTGCCACAAGCCGCCACTCATATTGTAAGACGCAAACGGCTTAAGCTCTTCTGCTGTGGGTCAAAATGGTAAACAACCGTGTCAGGGATTAGTGACCTGTCCTGGGGCCATCACCAGTAGCTACTAACTAATGACCTTTAACCCCTTAGTGAGACAGTTAGAGATAGCGCTGCTGGGACAGACTAACATGATAAAGCAGTCTCTGCCATTATCTTTCGTTTCCCGACGCTCTGAGGGCATAATGGTTTTTGCAGGCGGAAGAAAAGGACTCCAGTTGTCATACTTCCCATTAGCAGGCAATGTGATGGTCATGAATTACACATAAGTACACTCTGTCTCTCCTGCTTCTCTCACAGTCACACACTGTTCCTCCATACTCCCTCTTATGCTTTTCAGGGCTTCTTTGACCTCCTGTAGTTATCAGAGTGTTCCAGCAGAGCATGTCATGTGCCCAGAGATTAGTCCAAAATGTCAGGCAGACGTCTCACATGTCAGTCTGTCAATACGAGACACAGAGAGAGGGTGTTTGAATGCTGCCAACACAGGAGCATGTGTTTCTGCAAGAACACATCACACGGCACATGAGGTAGCTGTGAGAAAGGACATAAACAGGACTCGGTGTGCTGAGACTGAGAGACTCCTCCGCATCATCACTGGCATATGGGTGTGTTAGGGTGTTTGAGGTTAACACTGACCCGGCAAAAAGTGTTGATTCAGCACCCTGCAAAGTGACGCCCTACACTGCACTCAGCAATAGAAGTCTTAGCGCTGAGAACCATAATTGGCATATTTCAGCGGGTCATAGCAGGGCCGGATATGTGTTGATACTGCGGTGCCAGTGCGGTCAGCGTACCCCCCCTGCTTCTTCTGTACATTTGTCATGTCACTTGGGTCAGGGAGAGGAGAGGGAGGGAGGGAGGGTTGGAGAGGGAGGGTTGGATAAGGACAGGAATGGCTGTAAGTGGAGGTTATCTAAAGTTGTGTGCTGAGATAGTTGTTTTTAATCTGGATGGGAGTGGAGGAGAAGATCTCCAGTGTCTGGCGTTTGTTAACCCGACGCCTGATAGGCCAGACAGACAGACAGACAGACAGGCCCATACATGACCGGGTGTCCTGCTCTGCCCTTCTTTATCAGGCACTCCGCGCCCCTGTGTGTGGAACAAAAATGTTTGTATAACTAATGAAAAAGTAAGAACGTTCAACATGTCCCTACAGTGTACACATGTAGTGGTGGTACACAGTTTTTGAGATAACAAGGGATGTTCAAGACCAAGTGTGTGTTTTGTTCTTGCCTGTAACGCGGATTTATATTTGTGTCAGCTGCAGCTGCATAATAAATAATTGATCGGCCTATCAGCAAACGTTCCCTGTACATGGCCTACTTAATTTGAAAATGATTACATAGCAAACGTTGCAGTAAAATGCCTTGTTTCCACACAATCGAGTATTAATCGTAATTACAGTGTTCAAAAGATAATTTGTATTTCTGAGACAGATCTTTTGCCATGTCCTCTCTGTAGAGTGTCCTAGATGTGTTTCCGTTGGAGCTGTGTGTTCCCCCCCCAGGCTGCTGTAGAGGAGTAGAAAGTGATTAATTGCTGGCTGATATCTGTGTCTATGTGCACGAGCGTGTGTGTATGTCGGGGTTCAGATGAGACGAGCGTAGATAGACTTTTCACAGATAAAGAAGGTGGACTTTGCTCTCTCCTTTTTAATAGGACTGATTACACAGACAGATGACCTGAACCGGGCCGATCATCATTACCAACTCTGGGCTGAAAAACGTGCGCAAAGGCTGCAACTAACGATTCTTTTTTTTTTATCAACTATTCTGTTAAGAATGTTCCTGTAAGTTGTATTGACATTTTTCAGCATTTTCTGACATGTTATTGATAGAACAATCAAGATTTTCTATTATAGATCGTATCTATTAGTGTATCCCAAAGCCAAATATGACATCTTCAAATGTCTTGTTTTGTCCTCAACTCAAAGACATTTGGTTTTCTGTCATATCGGAGTAAGGACCAAGGAAATATCCAAATTTTAAGAAGCTGGAATTCGAGATTGTAGTATTTTTATTCTTTCAAAATGATAAATCAAGTGATAACTTTGACAGCCGGCAACTAATCCATTCATCTCTAGTGTACATTTGTGTTATGACTTCCAAACTTTTTGCACCTCAGACTAAATAAGGGTGCCTCCTCTTTCACTCCCTAGACATGCAGCTCTTGTCTTTGTCACGTAGTTTAAGCACACTCAGGCATACTGTATTTAAGCAATGGCTCGCTCTTCTCTTGGGTTCTTATCAGCACCATCCATGCAAAGCAGAACCTCCCTTTCTCACACACACACACACACACACACACACACACACACACACACACACACACACACACACACACACACACACACACACACACACACACACACACACACACACACACACACACCAGTGCTCACATGTCTCCACCAGTCTGACAGCAGCAGAGAGCAGTCTGGCCCAGCCTAATCAGTGCAGTGAATTCCTGCCCTGGTCCCCTGGGCTTGTCTCCTTTGGGCTCCCCCAGAGATTGTTCCTGAAGCCCTGGGTGGCTCCACTGAGTCCACCGGCTCTCAATGTCTCTCCACTTTTCCCTTCAGGCTAGCTGAAAGGGCAGCCCCTGCTAATGGAGTACTGATTGTGTTATAGCTACAATTATCACTCTTTACCTCTCAACTCGGAGCCATTAGCAGGATAGATAGTACCCCCGGCCTGTCTGCAGTCAAGGGATAAGGGACTGTCAAGATGATGGAACGTCCGAGCCGAGCAGGGTCCAGGAAATGCCATTACACCTTTCCTCCCTGCCCCCCCCCACACACAGCTTAAACTTGTTGTTTGTAATGCAGGCGAGAAGGGAAACTAAAGCCGGGTGCAAGAAATACCTGCAGAGGATAATGTATCGTCTCTAGGTTTACACGAGACGTGAATCATATGTAACCCGCTGCCTTGCTGAACTATAAGCTGGGGATTTACAATACGTGAGCCGGTGTGCAGCTGGTGGATTCTCACAAAGTGAGAGTACAACATGTCTTAATGAGCCTGCATCCCAAGGTGACAAATTACTCAAGTGCAGATCTTTGAGAAGGAAAAAATCCACCCTTAGGAGATCAGAACTAGGTGCTTTATAAGGGTTGGATGTAAAGTCCTGTGGATAGCTTGACATCTGTCTTTAGCCGGTTATCTGTGAATGAGAAAGGCACAGATTAACACAGGGAAGCTGCTGAAATAGTGTCTTAGTGAGTACTTTCCATATTGCAATTCCCAGGTGCTATTTAGCAACACATTTACCTACTATTTCCCATGTTACTGCCCAGGCCTTAGCGCTTCCCTACTGTACGTGGTCATGTATCTAATCATTCCATTTCGCTTTCTGTTTTCTTCTCCAGACGAGCTCATCTGCGGCTGTGTCTCGAGCGGTTGAAGGCCCTCATACCCCTGGGACCCGACTGCAACCGGCACACAACCCTGGGCCTGCTCAACAAAGCCAAATCACACATAAAGGTACGGGATAAAGCCCACAGAGCTGAAGACGCATGAATATGAACCATAGAGTGAAAATAGAACATGCATTATTAAAGCAAGAAAAATAGCAAATGGTGGATCTGAAATACATTTGACCTACACCATATAAAATAGGATTGTGATTCACTCGTAAAATATTCTGCAAAAGAGTTGAAAACAACATAATATAATGTCACGGTGATGATATGTTCAAAATGCACTACCATAAAAATATATTGGATTTTATTTGTCTTGACCTTTGCTTTTTATTGCAAATGTAATTGACTTCTAAGGATCATTACAGTTTCTAAATGACGAAGTAGTTTCAATGAAGGGTAGACTTTAAATACATCTATACATATTTATGGTTTAACATTGGGTGGTTGATGTGTAGATATAAAACATTTCCCATAGCAATAAACTGCGTATGCAAACAAACCTCAGCCAGTATTCAGCTGGTCACTGGTGATCATTTCACTGCCTGAGCATATCACACAATAAGACACCCTGCTTCACGCCTTCCCGTCCACTTAAAACACAGGCATGTGACTGCCCGAGGATGAGCAGTCTGCATGGAAAAAGCCTGCCGTAGCGTGCATTCACGTAACATAAAGACAATATTGTTGTTGTGAGCACCCCCTCACGACTGCCGTCACCACTCTGCACTTCTGCTGCTGTCAACTTGAGTCTCTCCATCTCTTATTGATGGCCTATTGTTTTGGTCCGTCGCCGGGAGTCACGCTCGTCACTATTGAGCGACCTTGTAGCCGTGACATAAGGCTACAAGGTTAGAAGTGCAACAAGGCTGTATGAGTCCCTGCCACGGCCTTTGCTTAGATTGTCATGGCACCAGGGCGTAAAAACACAGGCAGCAGGTAAGTGAGGGGACACGGTGTAAACAAGGCGGGCGAGGGAAATCATTCCAGAGCTGGCAGGAGGGAAGACCATGGGAAGCAAGGGGTTTGGTCTTTGAATGCGAACAAACAGGCAGTGTTTGGTGTCTGACAAATGTTTGATATAAAAGGAATTCCTTAACAGACAACAACATCCGTCTCTACAGTATCTCAGCATAATACATTTGTTTTCCAGCTTTCCTCCTCTCAGTCATATATTTATATCTTTTCACGACATCACTTTTATCTGGCTGTCGCCTTCACACCCTCACACGTATTTATCGCTCCATAAAAAGGTCTCTGATACACATAGTTAACCTTTTCTCCCTCTCCCCCTTCTCTTTCTCCTGAGCAGAAACTTGAAGATGCAGACAGGAAGAGCCAGTACCAGCTGGAGTCTCTGGAGCGGGAGCAGCGGCACCTCCAGCGCCAGCTGGAGCTGCTGAGGGGGGGCAGTGGTGCTGCAGCCCAGAGCAGCCCAGGGGAGGGGGAGAGGATACGCATGGACAGTGTGGGCTCCACCCTCTGCTCCGACCGCTCCGACTCTGACCAGGGTGAGAAACAGGATTTTCATTTGGCGAGTACAAGGCCTTACAGTATGAACCTCCAGCCGCTCTGGGGGTTTTCACACCACACAGAGGTTGTACCCGTCCCTCTGGGGCTGTTTGTGAAATGAGGTGTTGCTGAAAATAATCAACACAAATTTCCCGGATAAAGGTGTAAAATGAAAATGCTTTCTGAAAGGATTTAAAGAAAGCTTTGGTTAGTTAAAGTATCAAACATACAATTTAAATTAATCTTTAGTTAATGTCATTCCAACCTAAAGTTAAACTGAACCATGTTAATTGGATTCATATTTATTAACAAGGACTGTCATAACATAGTGATGTAAGTAATGAAGCGTTGACTTTAACAAATTGTTAAGCATTTTATACGCAGAGTTGGTTTTGGTCTTTTCCTGGGATATGTTGACTTTAAGAAAAAACATAGAATATCATCAGCCTTAACTTTTAGTCATCCCCATTATCTTTACACTTAAATATGATACTTTCCACTAAATGATTCCCTTTCTTCTCTCTTCCCCCGCCCTCTCTCTGCTCATCTCTACATTGGCGGCTGCAGAGGAGATTGAGGTGGATGTGGAAAGCACAGAGTTCTCCCATGGAGAGCTGGACAGTGTGAGCACAGCCAGCACCAGCGACCTGGACGACCACAGCAGCCTGCAGAGCATGGCCAGCGACGAGGGCTACTCCTCCTGCAGTGTCAAACTTGCCTTCTCCTCCTAGACCTCCCACTCCGCCACCGCCAGCATCTCCTCCCTGCCAAACCCGCCGGCCCTCCCATCTGTTTCTCCATCCAGCCATGTCTACGTGCACACACCCCCGCCGTCACCTCCGCCTACGACGGCCACAGCTGACAGCGTTCCTGTCGCTCCTGCCTCTCAGCAACGCCCCCTATGGCTCCTAGCCTTTAGTCCCCCCCCCCCCCCCTTTACTCCTGTGCTGCTGAGGAGCTCCACTGAAAGCTTTCCTGAACTTTGAGCCGCCAAGACCAACACCAGGGACACAAACACAGCCATGTGAAACTGCCCATCGATTTTAATCTGCTTTTAAAGGAAGATCAGAGTTGGTTGATATATATATAAAAAAAACATCATCCCGGTTTTTTAAACCCACGCAATTGAAATTAATGATTGATTCTACCTTTTCGCTTTTGATGAACTCTTAAATGTCTGAATTCTTTTTAATATTACACAACCCCGAATTTGACTTGAAATGCACTTAAATTCGCATGATATGAAATAATTCAGAGTTTAGGGTTCTTCCTCCTGTGGGCTGTGTGTTTCCTGTGTATCCCTTCTTAACGTTGTGGTGTTGGGTCTGGTTAAACGGCAGCACATCTAATCTGGACTGTAATCAACACTGTGGGTGAACTTTGCCATATCAGCACAGCTTGGCCCTGATGAACGTCCCTTCAGGCCTGAATTTAGTCCTTGTCTTATCGTTTTTCATTACCTCTGTTCGACACCGCAGAAGCTCGGACACTCGAATTGGTGCTATTGTGAAACAAACCAATGGGAAAAGCAGATCAGATCCACCACCACGGAGCTTTTAAAGCAAACAAAGTGTGTCTGCAGTGATTGTTTCCCACCAGGCACGGAGGAAAACAACCAAAAAAATGGAGGAAAAAACAACATTCCTGTTGAATGTGGGTGCTCAGTGCATTTTCAAAGAGTGCAAATTGTAACTTGTGTGTTTTGTTTTGGTTTCTCTCCCCTCGACAAGCAGCTACGACAAGCTATCCTGCACTTGCCTACTTTAGAGCTGTCCATAGAAATGGCACAAACCAACAAAAAAAAACAAGAACAGCAACAAGGAAAAAGTCCAAACAACAACAAACTTTGGAATAGATCCATTCTCTTTCCAGCAGTAACAAGCAATAACTCTTGTAGTCCTTTTTGTCTCGTCAGATTGAACCCCCTTCCTCTTATTTTTCTTCTCCCCTATGAAGACTGTGTGACCGTCCAAAAAGCAGATGTATATTCTTTTGTTTGTACATAAAAATAGCTTAATTAATTCAACCTTACAAAGGAGTTAAAAAAAAGTTAGAGCTCATGGATAGAATATATTGCCTCTGTTGCTGTTTGACCTGTGTTTATTGTGAATGTCAAAACTTTTGGGGGGGATGTATTTGGCATTCCTGACGTGGTCAGGTGATCTGTGGAGGGAAAGCCTGGAGTTTAGGGAGGAAAAAACGGGTTGTATGATGTCAATGTTCGCTATCCCAACTCCACTGGCATTAAGAATTGCACTTCAGCCACAGCTCTATGTACATTTTATTTCCCACTGTCCTTCGCTCATGGAGCTCACCTGAATCCTTTTGTATGTGGAAAAAATACTAAATAACTCCTTTTAAAATATTTATTTCTCAATCCCTCAAATGACACAAGCAATGGGGAAAGAGAAGTTAACTTATTTTGGTTGTGTCTTATTGTACTCCTCCTTTTGATGCTTATTACTCATTCCTTATTTTTAAGAATTGTATATTTTATGGCATATTGTAATTTTGTTTTCGTGGTGGTGTGGGTGGGACGGGATATGAAATGTAGCCATTTTGTTTTATTTTTATTTTATGTTTTATTCAATGGACACTTGAAATGTAATCGGCCCCTAAGCTGCTCCTGGTGCTGAGCCCCGCTTGTTTAGAGTCACCAGCCTTGTCCTCAGTTGACCCCCCCCCCCCCCCCCCGAACAACACGCAATGCCTGAGATGATACATGCAGACCCTAAACAACACGATAGCCAGATAGACAAGATGGCTTCCCTCCATACCCAGCCTTCTTCACTACTAGTATATCAATTCTCCTGTCCCGTTGTTTTAGGGTCTGTGCTGAGGGGGTGGGGGTCATCTCTTCACAAGGTTTTATCTATGGCCAAGACTTTACTGGCAAATTGAGCCAGCTACTACACAATAAAAGGGGTCTAAAACTCCACCTTCCTCTATTAGAGGGGTTGTAGTCTCTATTAGACTTGTGTTTTAGTTGACAAAATGTGTCTTACATTTACAATTCAATGCCTCCGACTGAGGATTTCAAGAAGAAAATCAACAAAATGAACAAATCCTTTTGGTTTTTCTGAAGGACGTCATTAAGGTGTAGAGTTTGACATGTAAGCTCTTTGAGGAGCTATGTTGAGGTTGTTGGACTTGGCACTGAATCAGAAAGTCAATGCTTCAGGTGCTTGACTATTTAAATAAAACAAATGCCAAAAACACCTTAGACACCTCAGTGTCCTCTCTCTCTCTCTCTCTATCTATATATATATCTCTGAGGGAAAGTTTACATTTATTCTTCCCCTGTTTAAGTTATTAACCTTCAACTCTTTGTTATTTTGGTCTTCATATGTTGGTTTCATGAACCTGCACTGCTGACAGGAAAAAGGTCCTGTGTTTGACAACAAAATGAATTCCACTCAGACCCGGATCGCATCCTATTGGTGTTTTTAACCTGCTCGGAGTACAATATATTTTTAACACAGTGGAGCGATTCTGATAGTGATGGGTTTTGTTGTTCACCACTGAAATGTGTGAAAACTGTCTGGCACTCATTGTATCGTCTCATGTGGAAAAACTAGTCTAAACTTGTAGTCCCGGACGGGATGTAACAAACTGTAAGAACTGATTTTACTGAGGCCAGGTCTGTCCTCTCGTGTGTGTGTGTGTGTGTGTGTGTGTGTGTGTGTGTGTGTGTGTGTGTGTGTGTGTGTGTGTGTGTGTGTGTGTGTGTGTGTGTGTGTGTGTGTGTGTGTGTGTGTGTGTGTGTGTGATGTGTGTGTGTGTGTGTGTGTGTGTGTGTGTGTGTGTGTGTGTGTGTGTGTGTGTGTGTGTGTGTGTGTGTGTGTGTGGTGTGTGTGTGTGTGTGTGTGTGTGTGTGTGTGTGTGTGTGTGTGTGTGTGTGTGTGTGTGTGGGTGTGTGGTGTGTGTGTGTGTGTGTGTGTGGTGTGTGTGTGTGTGTGTGTGTGTGTGTGTGTGTGTGTGTGTGTGTGTGTGTGTGTGTGTGTGTGTGTGTGTGTGTGTGTGTGTGTGTGTGTGTGTGTGTGTGTGCTCTCTGTTCTTACTAAGGCTGAGCTTTAGAGAGTTACCTGCTCCACAACGAGTCTGCACTGATCTCAGTTTGGCTGATTTCCACCTGCTACTCATTAAATATTAGACCTCTGGAGCATATTTGTCCAAAAAAAAGAGACAATATAGCCAGTGTCTAATATAATTTCTGGGACTGTCACATAATATGCAGCAAAAATGTTGCTAAAAAAAGTTAACTGAGCTCAACTGTAGGTGCAGACTGGTCCTGGATCAGCCCAGGTTAGTTGGGATGTCTGACAAAGAGTTTCTGGCTATATGCTGCATATTCAAAACGATAGCATATCTTCATAAGCTGGTGATCACAAAGCTATATTTTTACCTCTGTGTTTTAAGTTAATGCAGTCCTATGGTCCAGGTTAACTTTCTAGGAGGGTTCAGTCCCAGTTTTGCAGCTTGGCCAGAATGTGCAGTGTATTTTGTAAATCACACTCTATTCTGGCATCTGGCTTTGAGCAAACAGCTACATGAGGAATATGTTAGCCCAACCAAAACGAGTAGTCCCACGTGGGGAGTTGTCCTGTTGTTCTGAACCTGTGGCTATCCTTTGTAAAACATGCTGTCTGATGATGATTCTAGCCGTGTAAGTTGAAGATTCAATACTTACAATAAAACACCAAGATTTTCAAACCTGAATGACTCAACCGGCCTCTTTTTACAATGCAATGTATTTATGTTGAATTAACTGTAAAGCAATGACTAACACCGCAAAACATGCTATAATTTATTCCAAATAATGTAAAGGCTTATTTTTACAAACTGTCAAGTGTCATATCTGTTTTTTAATTATTGACACCGACAAGAGATAACAAAACATAACATACATTTCCTATAAGAAATGTCAATAAAGAGTAAATAGGTCTGCTGCCAGGCAGGTTTCATAAACAAATAAAAAATACTCTGATATGATAGATATCGTGTTTAAGATGGGTTACCTTAGAAACAATCGTGTTGCTGGAAGCCACGCCCAAATGTTTCCCTCGCTGGCCCCGCCCACCGCCATTCGCGCTACTTTGAGCAGTGCGCATGCATATGCACATGATGCGCATCATGTTGACATATATTTTCAACATTAGAGGAAAACTTCGACAGTTTCCAGACACATGTTTGACAGACATGTGTAGTTTATTGTGACGCCATACCGGGGGCTCACAGGTGTATCGGAATGGTAAATTTAGTTAGCATATTTTATTTGTTGATGTTGTTGTGTTAGCTTGCTAGCTTTCAATTATTTTGGAAGAAATGGAAGGAAGCGTTACACGTAATGCTAACTGTTGATCTGCTCTTGAGGCTGCAGGTTTATGAGGGTGTTGTGCACATTCATTGATATACAGGTGCTTTGAATGTGTTCCTGTGTGTCGGCGGTTGCAATTGGCTGTTTCACATTTGTGACGTAGGCAACCTAATTTAGATTGCTCACTGACTCTTCGAATCTCAGCTCTTTGGAAGGTTCAAAGACAGATTTCCCCCTACTCTAGAGGAATATGAAAACAAATCTGTAGGGACACACTTGTGCACAGTTATTTCTGTAGTCAAGGTCAGAAATGTACCGTACAGCCTACACAAGGAAACACAACTAGTTGATGTGATCTAAAGAAAATTCACAAAACAGTGGTTTGCAACATGGAGGCGAAGACTCCTTTAATCGATTTGAAGTTAGATAGATATAGGAATATATTTGTACTCAAACTTGATAAACAGGAACCACAGTCAAAGAACATTTCATATGATATAGACTCTGAAATCAGGTTTACTCTCCAAAGAATATATTCCCAGCATGAAAAGTTCTTATTGGCCTTGTAAATAGTAAGCTCCTAGTATTTTTCTTAAACTTGTTAACACAGATGTCAACAATAAATTAAAGGTCCCATGTCATGCTTTTGCGGTTATTTTTATGCATGTAAACGGTCTGCAGAGTCAAAAACCCTCAAAGTACACCCTGTAGGGAGTAAAACTCCAACACAGAAAAGACCTCCCCAAAACGCCTCGGAGATTTCTCCATTTCCATTGTTTACTTCCTGGGTACTCTGACGTGTGAATACCCAGAGGCCACACCCTCTGCCAGCCTTTCACGAAACAAAGCTTCCCAAACCTTTCAACGATTCATGCCGGATATGTACAGCGTAGGGCACTGAAGAACGATGCTGTTCCTACTTTGTTTGGACCAGCGGGAGATTCGGGTACACAACCTGTAAGTATTCATTGTTGTTTGTGTATTTATGATGTTTAAAACAAACAAGGTATCTACCGTGACTGTTTAAATCCTAAATTGGGATCGCGGAGAAATGCTCTCCGCAGACCCATTCTCACAGCGTTATAAACATTTTTCTTACTCAATATCAAGCCACACTTATTGTTTTTACTTCGGTTGTGAGTGTTTGTGTGTGCTCAGGATGAGTTTTGCTTGTTCTCGCTGTATCGCCGACACGGAAGCCTGTGTCTGCTCCTCGCAGCACTTTGAACTGCCTTGTGTTGAAAAGTGCTATATAAATAAACTTGCCTTGCTCACAGCAGATGCGAGCAGCAACGAGCCTCTCAACGTCGCGACCAATCAGAGCACACTGGGCTCACAGGGAGGGGGGAGCAGGAGCTCCAACAAGCCGTTTAGGACAGAGTGAATACCGGTGAATACACATACTTTACAGAGATGCTGTAGGAGAAACCAATGTGAGTTTGGAAAATTGCACAATATAAATCTATTTTAGTATACCTCAACAATGGAATTATGACCAGTCCCATGACATGGCCATGACATGGGATCTTTAAGATACATGTTTGTGAACTGTATGTGCACTTATGAATCCAATGATTAATTATAGCAGCATACAGGCTTTTCATAATAGCAATAACAACTACAACACAATCTTAGAACACATATAAAGTCACTTCTCTCTCTTTTCAGGTGTCACATGACTCAAAATAGTGTAAACAGCGTGTTAGACAACCTCAGCAGTCAGCACGTGCCACAGATCCGTTGAAGATCACATGATGTCTGTGTGATCAAAGCAGTCTTGTGGAGAGACTAACCGTAATTTTTCTCTTCAACACACCACATGAGCATCCTCCACATGTAATACTACTCTCGGGTGATCACATCTTGTAAAAAAATGGATAAGACGCCTCTGATTTCCCAAGTAGTAAACAACCACGTGTAACACCACAGTGAGAAACGCAGTGATAATGAAGACGTTGCTCTCTCAGGGTCATTAAGGACTCAGTGTAACTACAAATAATCTGGTTTAGATTACAGCTCCACATCAACCATCAGTGACATGAAAGAGGCCCTTTTATGCTTTTCAGGGTTTCCCCTTTCCTGTAGTGTGTTATATATGTTTTTGGGCATATACAGTACGTGGTCTACAAAGGCCAGAATCCCAAAGTTTCTCTCCCACACCCCTCCCTGAAACGTCTCAATTGGACTCCTTTGTTGAATTCCGTAACATAGTGACATCACTACATTACACTCGAGCTTCTATTTGCTAACACTATTTGCTAACACAGGCTTAGGGCCGGGACATCCCTAAGTGGTTACAAAATAAAGCACTTGTGAAATTAAAGTATATAAGCATGTCACAGAGTAGAGGCATAAAATACAAATATTAACAGTTTTGAATGTTAGTTAACATGAAATTGGGAAACTCCTGCATTAAATTACTTTGTATGTGATTGGCTTTTTTGAGAAGCATTTTTTCTGTCTCTTTCTTTTCTATCCTCTGAAGCTGTTTAACTTTATTTTTCAGAGGGTACTTTATGAGTAAAACCATTATTATAACAGGCTACATCCATCAGTCATATTGAGAGAGATGCTGCCCCCTATTGGGCATCAGAGTCTGTGGTTCCTGCCATCATCTGACTGCTAAATTAAAATGTATGATGTTTTACTTTCATCACAACAAATGTTGAAAATGTAGCATTTGGTTGTATGTATGGCGCTATAGATGATCAGCACACTCAGTTAAATATAAATGTACAACCATATCTTATAATGATACTTTTTAGTAAATAAATGCAGCTTAGTCAGTTTCTGCAATTTTTGTAATTATTATCTAGAGACTTTTGCTAAATATATATATAATAATTTAGGATGACATCACTGTCCAAAAGCATGACTGTAACACAGTGTAGCACAAACCACTAGGA